CACTCATCAGTGCACATACAGAGATGCAACGTCTTCTCAGCTGCTGCGACACATTCACTGTAGCACTCATCTGAACACACACAGATGCAACGCCTTCTCAGCTGCTATGTCACATCCACTATAAGTGTATGAAGGCCACTACGTGACAGCAGTAACTGTGGGGTACAGTGAATAGATTAAATAAACACTGACGCACAGTGTGTCTCAATGTTCAATTGCTTCTGTTTTAGGGTTTTAGGGAATTTAAGTTTACCCGCCAATTTTTTTTGTTGTCGGTTCTGCTATACTAAATTTGGGCGCCTCTTTTACGTCATAGTAAGTAAAATATGAGATTTTTGTAGTTTACGTAAAATCGTAGAAGCTTCAAACTTTAACGAAACTTACAAGTGCCCCCAGAACTGCCAACAGGACACTTTCGAAAATGAATCAAGTTATAAGCTATGGACCATTTCATTGGCAAACAAAACTTTAATTTTGAATTTCCCCGAAAACGTTTATCTGTTAGGACTCGCCCTAAGTGTAGTAGTTTAGGGGTTCCGTTTAATTTAGTTTAGGGGCCTAGTTTGTATCAGTTCAGTTTAAGGTTTGGTTTAGTTTGTCTAGACTTTCGTCTGGTTTAATTTACACTTTGATAGGTCCATGGTCCATACGTCCCTTTAGACTTTCGTGTGGTTTAATTTACTTTCATGTGGTTTAATATACACTTTGGTAGGTCCATGGGCCATAACATCCCTTTAGACTTTCGTGTGGTTTAATTTACACTGTGGTAGGTCCATGGGCCATAACATCCCTTTGCCCATCTGTTTTGAGTTGTGTACTACCCTTTCAGTTCGACCCGCGTGGCTGCACCGCTGGCGGCAGAGTATCTCCAGTGCACAACACCACCGCATATGAGCACGTGCTCACAGACGTCCACGTGGCCGCTACAGACCCCTTCCCATTGACTACAGACTCTCCATCCCCCGCACTCTCAGTCGTAATATTAGATGGTGTGGGTGTCCTGTTCTTCACAGTGGCACCCTTGCCATGGCTGCCCTTGCTAGCGCTGGCTGCCGTTGCCGTTGTAGTGTCGTGTGCGGTCGGGTCAACCCGTCGCTGCCGTCTGTCCCACGCGAACAAATCCGTCCGTGAGATCACAGGCAACAGGTTAACATACCAGAAACTGATGAAAGGGGATGTTCGGTACCCCCCAGCACCTGTGTGCTGTTTCTGAACCTTATCCGCCTCACGCATGCCCTTCGGGGTCCAGTAGTTATACCGCTTACGGGGGCACAGATAGGACATTTCTGCACCGACCCGGTCCTCTCCGCCGAGCGCAGGTGCATAGTACGGTTTGGCGCAAAAGTAGTTGGGCATGAGCAGCAAGAACGGCTTGCCATTGCCAGACACCCACTGCAACAGTCTGTCCACGTGGTCGCCACTGTACGGTGGGTTGGTCACCACTACATCGTGCTCAGGGACCGTCCCCTGGGCTATAACCCTGTAGAAGTCCTCGCACTTGTTGTACACATTGGTGAACCCAAGCTCGCCCAAGTGCTGTGCCATGGCCCCGGCACAGTAGTACGGGTCGTATATGCGCAACTGCGCGCGGGTGCACCCCTTGACCTCCGCAACCAGGCCAAGCACTCCCTCTATGTGTAGGTAAGCCTCCGGCGGTGACTCACAGTGATCGTCTGAGTTGGCCGGGAAGGGGTGGTGTATGTCTGTGGTGTGCTGTGTGTGTGCGGCTATCTGGGCCTTGTCCACAGCCACTATGCGCGCCCTATCCCTCTTGCTGAAGGTCTTCCACTGTGTCTTGAGGTGTGCATCGTAATACTTGTGGCCTGGATTGAGTCGGTCCGAGAGTGTCCCCTTTACGTTAGCCCTCGCCACATTGGTACTCCCTGGACTGGTTTGTACCGAACTTTCTGCCCCATTCATCAACGAGTCCAGTACCCGCTGCGCCGCGGCTGACATTGGCGGTGGAGTGTTTAGGGTGTGTGGGGTGCTCGCCTGCCCTGTTTTCTGGGTTTCCTTGCACGTGGCCCCTTTTTTGGGTGCTTTTGTCCTCGGCGCCGGTTTCATCGTCACTCTCCCATCCGCCCCCTCAACTGCTGTAGTCACCCCAGCACCACCGGCGGATGCTGCACCGCCGGTACCTTTCTCATTGTCCACAATTGCACCCGTCTGTCCCTGGACTGTTGCAGCCTGGGCCTTTTTCTGAAGGGCCTGGGCTTGCTTCTTCGCCTTTTTCCTCTCAAACTTGGACAGATACTTCTTGCCCTGGGTCTGTACAGTCCCCGCCTCATCAGTCCCTTTCTCCGCGGTGTCCTGGTCCGCCCCATCGTGTGCCTTCTGGTCTGTCCTACCACTCAACTTGTCCCCTTTCTCGACTTGCTCTGTACTCTGAACTCCACTCCCACTACGCCTCTCATCGCAACTATGCCTCTGTGTACCAGTGCCTCGGGTTTGCACCCGCACCTTTCTCCGTTTGTTTAGGACCGGGTCTACACAGGTGTCGTTTCGGTGGCCTTCGTCGTCCCCATCACCATTACGAGGGCGTTTAGTGGGGCCGGTCATTTGGACAGCTGTAATTGAATTGGACTATTCGTTCAATAAGCAGGTGAGCGATGTTGAGTGAGGTGGATTGACGGCATTTTGTAGGGAATGAAAATAATAATACTATGAAAGATGTACACCGCTCTTGACTCTGCCTGAAAACACAGACATGGTATATATATATATACACACACACACACATATATATATATATACATATATATATATATACATATTTATATAAATATATATATATATGTGTATATATATATATACATATATATATAAATATATATAT